GTTCCCGACACCTTCGTGCAAAGAGCCGGGACAAAGCGAGGGAACCCACGGAGCCCTTGAGCAAAGAGAAAGAGCCAAAAAGGTGGAGATGGGATTGGGGAGGCAGGGGACACCCTGGGAGTGTCCTGTGCCTGCGTGCTCCAGCACCTGACGTGGGCACTGGGGACAACCTGGGAGTTCAGGCGCTCTTCCCTGGTGCCCCTGCTTCGCTGTCTCCCTGCCTCCAAAGCTTGGACCCTGCAGCAATGCAGGGATCAGACTTCTGCTCGACTTGTCCCTTCTGTCCGTCCGTTTCCGAGCCCTCTTCCCTCGCTGCCGCAGTGCTGCCGGAGCAGTGCCCGGCTCCCTTGCTTTGCTGGACAGGGTGCCCACCCAGGGCAGCGATCCCAGTGAGAGGGAAACCCCGTGATGATCTTCCCTTCCCAGTGCGGCTCCGGAGCCCATTCTTGCCACAGTCGGAGCCATCCAGCCAGAGCCACATCAATATCCCGGCTACCCGCGCTCAGCCCGAGCACTCTGTGCTCGGGAAAGGCCTGGGGTTGGCCCGGGAGGGATGGATCCAGCCCCAGTGCCCGTGCAGGGCTGCCCAGCACAGCCCGGGGCAGCACCAGGCAGGCTCTGCATTACGGGGAGAGCAGGTCATGAGAACAGGAGGCTCAATCCGTGCTGCATCTGCACCCTGGGGGACAAGCGAAGGGTTTTTTTGGGCTCCAGGATGAGGTGGGAAGCAGAGGGAGGGTGATCCGGCCCCGCGCACCTCTCTGGCCCTGTCACCCCACAAGGGACGGGGACGCGGCGCTCGCGGCCCTGCACCGAGCTGCTCGAGGCAGAGCTGGGCAGCGAAGCGTCCTCCTCTCCAGCAAGGATGCTCAGCCCTGCGGGCAAGCGAGGCAGAGGAGGATGAGCATCGGGGAGGCCAAACGAGCTGCTGGAGCAGCCCTGGAGCAACGAAGGGCGGGCGCTGGGGCTGTTTGTGGATGGAGCACGGCAATACGGCAGCTGGGCTAAGGAAAACCCCAAGGGATGAGCGTCTTGAAGAGCATCTCCCACGGCAGCGCTCGGCATTGCCCAACACCGCTCTCCACGCGTGGTCCAGGGGGGTCCCATCTGCATCCCAGCCCTGCTCCGGCACGAGCCGGCTCCGGCTGCGCGCGCTCTGGGCAGGAGCGGAGGAGTGACGGGTGCTGGGGGCACTGAGACCCCCAGCCCAGCACACAGCGGCCATGAAGACAGCGGGGACCCTGCACCATGGGACAGAGAGGCCGTAAGGGCTGCTAGGGGGTGGCAGCAGAGGAGTTTTTGCTCGAGCTGGCTCTCCAGGATGCTCCAAACCTTTCACAATTATGTCCAAAAAGGAGCAGGATCCCTTGTCTGAACCTGCCCCTGCGGATCTGGGTGGACTCCCTGGATGGCCACATGGGCCCAAGGAAGTGCAGAGCCTGGCTTGGCTCCTGCCTCTCCTCCAGTGCCGTCTGCCAGCAACGGCTCCGAAGGCAAGTGTGGGGAAGAGCTAATCCGCTGTGACTGCGCTCGGACCTGGCTCCGTGACCATCAGCCGTCAGATCCGAGGCCCCCGCTCCCAGGATTTGTATGCACGGATGAGCGGAGGGGCCCTGGGCAGGAGCGGGAGCTGCTGCCCCCTGCAC